ACATAGATGGAAGTGGGGGATCGAGGAGATTGCAGTAGTGGACCAGTACACATACCTCGGAGTAGAGATCGCAAAAGACTGCTCGTGGAATGCACACATGTCCAAGGTAGCGGAAAAGGGCAAAGCACGAGCAGGGAAGCTGCACCCAATACTCGCAAACCGGCACCTCGAAACACGCATCGAATTGACAGTTTTGAAGGGCGTAATCGTACCGCCGCTAGATTACGCCGGAGAAGTATGGTAAGGAAATAAGATGGTGAAAGAATTCGAGGCGGCGCAAATGAACGCAGCGAGAATCATCCTAGGATGCTCCAAGCGCACAAGCAATGCAGCCGTCAGGGCAGAATTGGGGATCCAATCCCTACGGTCGGGAAGAGACGCGAGGAAGCTGACATGGCAGTATCGCATGTGCGGGATGGGAGAGGAGCGGTTGCCGAGAATTGTGTGGAAGGCGAAGCGGGCAAACAAAAAGAGGGGTAGACAACCTTCGGAATGGGTCAAGGTTGTAGAGGACGTATGGAAGGGGCTCGACATCGACGAAGATGAAACGCTGGAAACGGAGGGTCTACAGGGGTTCAAGGAGAAGATATCTGTTGCTTGTGCCGAGAGAGAAGAACAGAATCTGAGGAAAGATACCGAGGATAAAGAGGGCCTAGAAGTGTACGGAATGTTGAAGGAAGGAATAGGGTTCAAGGACTACCTACATGGACCAATGGATGCAGGAACAAAGCTTAAGGTCAAATTCAGGACCGGGGACATGGGCGTTCGAGAACGTCGACGAAGACATAGGACGGTAAACAAGGAAGACGACGAGTTCAAATGTGATTGCGGCTTCGAATGCGAAGACCGTGTTCATGTAGTCGCGGAATGTCAATTGCACAAGAAGGAGAGGGAAGTGTACATGACTGAGCTAGGAAAAATACAAGTGAGGTACAGGGAAATGTTGAAGGCATGGAATAGAGAGGACAGGACGGTACCTGTTCTGGGGAGTAGGAAGTGGGTTGAAAAGGCGGGAAGGGATATCGTTAGAATAGACAGACTAAGGAAGCCATTTTTGAGCC